CATGATGTTCAGCCTCACCTGGAGGCCCTGGGAAATGGAGCTGGCTGTATATGAATCGAGACCTCTGAAACTGTGAGCCACCAAATAAACTTCTCCTCCTCTAATATTGTTCTGGTTGGGTCTGGTAGTGGCAGCGGTGAAGAAGCTAAAACATGCTGGTATAAGAAAGATATGGAAGTCCAGGATGCTCAGGTACTATACCTGGGTGTCCAAACAGGAAAAGACCTCATTTAGGAGGTGTTCCCATGAGTTTTTCTTTAAAAGTATTCATACTGGGAGATAAAGGCACAACTCCTGATTGAAAATAAATGTTTCCACTGCACCTTCTAAAGACCCAGAGCCAAAGCCAAGTCTTGTACAATGTGGAGGCAGAGTCAGGAAGACAAGTGAATGGCACCTTTATGCACATGTGAGATGGGCAGCTCTTGCTCTGAGTGGCTGCAGGTCCAGGCAGGGTATCTGCCTTAGATCACACCTGAGCTAGACAACCTGGGCAGAACAGGGCTTGTGCTACCACATTAAATGGCCCAGATGGAGCATGGTTCGGGTGTAAGATACCAGAGGATGTAATAAATAAGTATTCATGGGTAGAGAGTAGCTCAAGAGTGGGAACATGAACTCTACAGCAGTATTTTATCTCAGTGTGAGCAAGTTTACAATGAGGAAATGACGGGTGGCCCTACACCATCACACCATATTCTAGCTAAACAGGGAATATTCACAACACCCTTTACTGGGGATGGATGATTGTGTGTGTGTTTGTGTGTGTGTGTGTGTGTGTGTGTTGCAAGGGTACTCACATGCTAACAAACATCTGTAATTATCCAGTCATTATAAACTCTTGCATAAATGATTGATAATGAGAACCTTTGGACCTCTTCTGAGCTCAGGCTAAGCTCCCCCAAGAAGAGCTCCCTGTGAGCCTGCTGCTTGCTTAGGCCTCAGGACCATCCTCAGTGCTGGCAGGCAGAACGCTGGTGCCCATCATCGCTGCAGGGGTGGGAATCAATGCCCAGGGCCAAACATCAAAATAAATACTGCATGACAGAAATGGCAGACAGATCATGGATGTTGTTCCTCTTCCCAGTTCCTTCAGAAATACCCTCCGTCCACTGCCTTGTTTCTCGGGAGCATGTCTGTGCCTCAGGATGCTCCTAGGTACCTGAAGCTCCCTCTGGGGTCAGAAAAGATGCCATTCCTGGGAGACTCAGGGGAGTTGATCCTTCCATCCCAGAAGGAAAGGAGACTCA